TATAGATTTATAGATTGAAAACAAGTTTAATTGTTGAAATTTAGTTTTTTATTTACATATAATTATTGACTTCACCGTGTGACCGACAATAAATGAGCTCACTGAGTTTATTAAAAATAATTGTATTTGTAAAGCACCAAAGGGCTGGTTTAATACTTTCATGCATATATTCATAATAAATTATGGTCTTAAAAAATTAATAATAATTACAATACAGTTCTCTTTTTATACTTAACTAAAAAACTATTGCAAAATACGAGGGTCACTATTTATATTTCGAACCTTGGCAACACTGATTATTGTCAAGTCTCTAGGTGTTTTACGTGATTACCTGCCTGCAACGGCTTAACATCACGTTACTCAAAAGCAAAACGTCTTGATACAAAGCGTCAATAAGCGCCCCTTTGGAAACTGCTTCAATTCCACAGGTACCAATGAAGAAATGTGTATAGCTTCCGTCTTGGTATAATGCGAGGCCTACCTACAACCTCTGCTACAATGTGGGCTGTAGCACCCGGTGGTGAAACCGCAACTCCACGGCGAATGAATGACAAGCAAAATTCTTCCCGCGTAAGTTTGGGTATCAACACACAGCCACCACGAAGCCTACACCAATGGTCAGCACAGCCGAAGCTGTCGGACCACTGACCCCCGTGATACCAGATCGGATCATCTCTGGTCAGATGGCGCAAGTGCCGTGTTCACGTACTTCCTATACAAGTACCGGATTGGCACAGGAATTTTAGTCGCCTTTTACGACAAGCATATCTACTGCGGGAATATTCTAAATCCCTTACCCGCAGGGGGCACTGATTATTGTCAGGTGTCATCTGACATTTTAATACGAAAGGTTGACATAAGCTCCCTTACACTTTTTGTCAAAAAATTGTCATTTGTATTACTAAGGCCGTGTGCGAGTTCGAGTAAATTGATGGTAAATTGAGGGAAATAGTAAATTATGTCGGTATGGCAGCGAATAGTGGTATTTACCAGAATTTAGGGTAAATTAGAAAAAAATTAGGTAAATTAGGTGTTGCCATTGTGAAAATTTTATAAGATGTTTAATAAATAAATCAATTTGAAAACTTTTAACCAAAAATAATAAATAATTTTAGGAAATTTCAATTTAGTTTACTTCAATTTACTCACACTCGCACACGGCCTTATAGTGATTTGTAAATTGAGTGTTCGCGAAGAAATTGAATTGACTTTCGACGTGGATAATCAAGACAAGAGTGCATGATCAACTTACTTCCATATTTGGCGATGAATGATAGGGTCGGGACCTTCTAGTGGACTGGGACATTGTACACTCCTTTCTTTAATAAAAATAATGGAGAACCAAAATAAAAAGGATTACTGGGATAATATACCAGGATTAAAACAATTCAAATCACTTATTGATACCTATGAACAATAAGAGATACCAGAATTGTATGAATCTATCAAAAGAAAAACTAAGAATCATCATAGGAATCCTAATAGAGCACTGTAAATTAAAACACCACCTTACAAGACTGGTGGTACCTACGGATGCAAACCGTAGATTCTGTGTAGAGAATAGAGGAGTCGGCCACACATGTGCTATTAGCATGCCCTGCGCTAATGCACATACGAAATAAGGTCCTGGGATTGAACATTCTTACGGACGAAGCAATAAAACTGTGTAAAGTAGGTTCTATACTACTTCTTATTGGCTCAAGGACCTACTCTAAACTCAGAAAAGAGCACAAATGACCCGACGGTCTCATTGTCATATCCCCTAACAATAATAATAACATAATAATGCTTTGACAAATCGTTCGAATGTATGCAAAAGTGTATTAATCATAGAAAACAATACTTCAAGAAACAATAAACCAATTTTCAGCGGCAAATTAGTATTTTTCATTATAAGGTTTGATATATATGTAGTGTCCTTCGTATAGTTTTTTTTTCACTTCCGTTAATAGAGATTAATTATGTTGAAGCTATTTGAGCCAGTGCACTTGAGCACTTTTACTCTTTGTTAACTCGAGGTATCTTCAAAACTCCTCTTTACGCTTTGACTGGATTATTGCTTATCACTTCATAAGACTAAGCAATAATTGACCTCAGATCTGCATACCTTCCCGAGGGGCCTGTAACCATTGTGAGATTCGATAACGCAATTAATAATTAATCACTTAATTTTGCAAATGATTCAATTTAGTATGACTTAATTATATATTTCAATAACACTGACGTCATCTAACTCATAAAATATTTATTATGATATAAAAAACTAAAAAGGAATCTTGTCTTTATATGATATTAATCAAACTTTCCTTATGTGCAATCAATAAAACTTACTTGAAGTGACAAAATTATGTCATATAAACACTTCACAGTTATCTTTGGTTTATAGTTTCAAATAAAGTTCATGGTTAAGTTATATCAACATAAAAATATTTTATTATTTTAGAAACACAAAAAAAACACTTAAATATAAAAACTATAAAATGCGTATTTTTAATATTGAAACATATAATAATTTTGCAAAACATGTATTTCTATTAGGAGTGGGTCGAAATTGCAATCAAATGTTGCGATAACTCATGGGCCAAGCAGAATTTTTAATTATTTACATAAAAATCTGCTGTCCGTGCCAGACGGCAAGATACTTTTTTGGTATTTTCTGTTAGTGGCAGATTGTGTTCAGTTGGCGGATGGCGATGACAACAGTTGCTGAATGTTCAAACAATATATTTCCTACAAATTTACCAACGAAATAATAATTTTTAATTTTCATTCAATTCGATGTTGAGTAAACAAAAATAAGAATATTCCATTGTATGGGGAATTTGCGTTTCAATTGAAATTGGAATTAGAATTGAATTAAACATCATTGATGTCTTCTCCCCTTTCATTAAATTCAAAAGATATTTATTTTGTGTTTATGCATGTTTTCATTTTATTTTCATATGAAAACTGATAGTTTAAAGCTCTTTAAGTGAAGTCTTGCATTTTTTTCTAGTATTTCTAGTATGGTATTTTTTTTTTTGATATGGTATATGATGGGCAATATTGTCTTAAGTGCTTTGTCAAGACATCTATCAATCATTTTAATTCCTTTTCATAATGAGAATTTGAAATAGTTTAGCAATAAGACAAAATGATAAGATTTCATCATGCTAAGTGTATGTGAAAACCCAATATAATAATTGACTACTTTTTGGAATTATATTAAAATTTCACAATAAAAAAAATTTATATTTTATATTTTGTATATTATTTACAATCGATTTGTTAGATATAATAAATTTCTTTAAAAGTATGATATATAAGAGAAATTTTAAAGCACCGATAGGTAACTTAATAGCACTAAATCTAGGGCAAAATGTATAGCACCCGAGATTAATTTACTATACTCTAGATACAAGATTACCCTGAAATTAACAGTTGTTTTATGTGATTTGACAGATAAACTTTGATTTGATTCGATATATGTATTTGTGAAAAATATTAATATCTACTTACACAACTAAGAAAATGTTAGATTACTCTAAAATGTTTAATGTTTGTCTTTACAGCTTGGAATAATTGTGCACAATTTAATGAGATAGGCGGATAGTTATATTGTTTGGTAGTAAATATGGACTTCATTTGGTTTGATTCGTCAGTCTTTCACCTACAGAGACATATTGCCAACGAACGTCTGCAGCGTACGTTTCTCATATTAACTTATCGGAGTTAACCTGAGTTAACATGATTAATTGTTTGCTGAGGTAAGGTCTTTTTCAAACTTTCTCCAACAAAGTAAAACTTTATAAGTGAAACTTTATAAGCCTATGTTTAGACTTTAAATTAACCATATAAGTTAGCTATACAATTATCAACGTTTACACTTGGACACAAATATAACCCATTGTAGTACCCTTAAACTTGTCACGAAGTTCGCACCTTCGACTACCAATTGTTTCCAGTAAAGCTTCTTGCGTTATTATAGTTCCACTTGTTTATGTTGTACCATGTTTTGGATTTCGTCCATGAAGTTAATTAATCACAATATTATTTATTTTTTCAATAAAAAGTATTGATATTCGAGACCCAATAAAAGAAAAATCGTATAGAAAGAAAAATGTTGAAGATTCATTGTATCATTTAAGGTTAATTAGAATCTAGTATTAACAACTAGTATCGGATTTAGCGCTACACGGTATCTGTGGAAGGTTAGTATAGCGCTCTCTATCTATTACCGAGACTCATTTAAAAAATGTTCAGACTGTCATACTGCCAATTAATATATAATTGATATATTAATATATAAATAATATAATATTAAATAATATAATGGTTTTTATATGTTTTTTAATCCGGCTATATATCACTTTTTTTTGGTTAATTCAATGTTTGCTTAATATTTTTTATTATATTCTATATTTCGACTCGTCTTGAGAGTCATCATCGCAATCACGATCTAACATAAATTGATTTATGTGTAGGATCATAATTCTGATGACAATGATTGCAATATTGTGCAACATAGACAATAGAATAAAGAGAATGACGTAGATATAGCTTTAGTAATATTAATTTATGTTAGATCGTGATCCTAATGATGACAGGTCGATAACTAAATTCAAAAATTTTATATTAAATAATATAATATATATAAATAATAGAATATATTAATAAAAATTTATAGACAAGTTAAGTCGTTTATATAAACTAATATTTAAATATCTACCATATAAATATAGATTATTTAATAAATAATATAAATTATATTTTTATTATCTATTATGATAATCATAGCCATTTAAAAACTATAATCATTGTAATTATTTTATAATTGAAAAGCATCGACTTTCATATTATTGGAATTATCTTTAATAATATAGCAATATCAATTATTTGATTAAATATTCCTTTAAATATTTTATTTAAATTTAATTAACATTTCAAAATAAATTGAATTATACTATAAGTATTTAAGTGCAATGTATTTATATATAAGTTCATTAATAATAACAACTTACTCCTGCCACCAGCTTCGTTACCGCTAAAGCTTCCATTGTGCGATGACTCCATGTACGGTAGTGGTGGCTCGATTTGTAGCTGTTGTGGACCGACATCACGATAGTCCAAAAATTCATCACGTTCGCCACGCAGACACGAAGTTAAGCCACGTGACGTACGTCTATCGACGCGTTCCTTCTCCAGGGAACGACAGTAAAGATGTGTCGTCTGGGCGCGTTGCAAAGATTGCGATTTATTGCCACCACATTGGATCGGTGTCAACGTGAGTTCGTTGTGCAATATTTGGATTGGTGGATGTTTATCTTCCGTTGGAGGTATTGCAACGCAATTCATTTTTGTGCAGTTTTTTTTTTTATTTTTGTATACGTTATTTTTATCTTTTTTATTTATTTTTTAAATAATTTGGTTTAATTTTGTTTAAAATAAATTTTTTGGTTTTGTTGCTGTATTTTGTAGCACATAATATTTTTAAATGAATTTCATGTAAGTAAGGCAAACCAACAATTTTGAAATTTTGATTTTTCTCTTTTGTATGCGAAGTATGAGTAAACATTTAATTTCCTTAATTTTATAGTTTATAGCTGCAAAATTAAATTTATTTAATATACAAAATCTTTTTGAACTATATTGACTGACTCAAGCTGACTGTAGTTTTGCCAAAAATTTTAGTGAATATTACCATTTCAATAATAATAAAGTGGTAAGTCAAAATTTTTCAAATTTTAGAGTTGTCAAATAATACATTTTTGGAAAGTTGTCCAATTTTATTTTTGGATATATATACCTTTTTTTTTTTGGTAAAAGTTTGCAAGTAATTTCATGTAGGAGCCAACACCTCAGAAATGGAGTATGACATAAGCAATTGTCTATTTTTGGCTTAAGTACAAAAAAAAAAAAAAAACATAAAAGTCTCGAAAAAAATACATTGAGAAAAATAATTTTAATTTTTCATAAATATTGCAAAAACTATTAACTTTTTAACATATAATAAATATATCAGTAAACATTATTCAAAGCCATTTTAACAATTTCAAGTTCAATAGCCTTCTCACTTTCTATTTTCTCAAATAATTTCTATGCAATGCATTAAATACTTCAAGTTCATGCAATTTAGCAACTTCTTGGCAATCATACAACAAAATTCATCTTATAAAATTCTTCAATCCTTTCTTCCTTCTATTCAAATCAAATCCAAAAAATTGTGAAAAAATGCAAGTGAGTGTAAAATTATTAACACAACAAAAAAAAACATTTTTAAGTGCTACGCGGTAGAAATTTTTATTAAAATTGCCTTGAAAAATAGATGCGACCGAGTTGTATAGGAAAACTGAGGACGGCAGTGGTAATGGCAACGGTAATAAATCTTTATTTTAACAGCAGCGAATTTGCAGCCATTTAAGTAGTTTTTCCATTTAATATGCAAAACAATCTACAAGAATAGAAGTCAAAAGACATCTCCATTTTGGCGCGTTCATTCGTGACACCATCCGCAAAGATACGCGGACAAACCCATGCAAATCCATGTGGAGTAACCGTTGCTGTTTTTGAGATACTTGATTTTCTTTTCTATTCTTAAAGTGTAATTTATGCGTCACTTCCAGTTTCCAATTGAAACTGAAATTATTCAGTCACATACAAACTGGATGAGAATTTATTTTTATTTTTGCTGGGAAATTTTATTGCACTTGTAATCTATAAAGGAATGAATCAAAGACTATGGTATTAATCATCTGGAATAATTTTAGTCCATAATAAACTAATCGTAATTATTCTTACATTTATCAAAGATTTTCCAGAACTTTAGGGATGGTAGCGAAATCCAATGTTGGTCAAAACAGTGTTGCACAACAGTAGAAATCAGTATTTGTCACTTTTATGAGCAAATATACATATTTCAGTGTACAATTAATGCGTAACCTTACAAAAATAACTAAATAGATCGAAAGTAGTGATAATATGAAATTGGCAACTGTGATATGACTCTATGGATAACATACCGAGAAAAAGAGATTAAAATTGCCTTAACCATTCTTTATGTGAATATCTACAGTACATGGCCCGAAATAGTGTTAGAAATCGGAAAAAAATTGTGATTATATGAAAAAAACGTATCTCTAATAGTCTTCAAAAATTTACTTAAATAAATCATTAAAGTTATGGTTGCTTAGGTTTATTTATAAAATAAGTTTTTTTTAGAAATCTAAAATGACACCCTCCGCGGCTTTATTAATGATTACTCCGCGGAAAGTAATGATTAGTAAATATTTTAAGTTTCTTTTTTTCAGAAATATTGATTACATCTTATCCTTGCTCAATTTCAGCAGAAAATTTATTTTATATCCAGGGATGCCCGATTGTGAAAAGTAAACTCATTAGGAGACGACATATTTAAATATATCTAGGATAGATAATGCAAAGAATTATGAATATTTCTTTAAAAAACTATGTATATAAATACAATAGGCCTCTTACTATAGATATCTCGTAAAAAAAATTGTTATTAATAAATCAATAATAGGTAAATACAAATATTGTAGCGATACTGAATTATTGCAGTACCTATCAAGAAAAAGTTGTTATTCACAAAGTTGTGTTAATTCAATCTATTTTATATCTAGAATGATTAAGATGTCGATGTCGGATTGATATCTATTATCAAATATTGCCTTTAATGAATCTTGTTGCAGCGATAAGTAAGGAAAGGAAGGTGCTCCACATTCCTTCTTAGTATTATCAAACCCACACGTAATGTATAACTTGCTAGGGTTTTATTTAAAAAGATTTTGATCAGCAGCAGAATCGTTTTCTGAGAAACAACTAATATTTGATATGGTTTTAAATCATATGATTTATATACGGCAAGAAAATTGTCAGTAAAGCCTAAGTAAATCCTTACAATCAGCACGATAATCTAACTCGAATGTTACAGTTCTTTCGAAATTTGGCAGCAAATTGGTATATATTGGTATATATTATTGAGTTCAGTCTAATTTACATCTAAGACGATTTGGTACTAGATATCTCTGAATGAGATACTGACATCGGTTACTAGAAAAGAACTTGCTAGGAATCGATACAAAAAGATTTTTGTTAACGGTAGGATTGCTTTTTGACCAAAAATCAGTCTTTAAAAACGGTTTATAGGTGTTACATATCTCTGTGTGAGATATCGAGATCGGTTGAGAGAAAATAACGTGCGAGGGACCTATTCAAAAAGATTCTTGTTAACGGCAGGATCGCTTTATGGACAACAATCAGTCTTTAAAAACGATTGATAGGTGTTACATATCTCTGTGTGAGATATCGAGATCGGTTGAGAGAAAAAAACGTGTCAGGAACATATTCAAAAAAATTTTTGTTGATGGTAGGATCGCTTTATGGACAACAATCAGTCTTTATAGGTGTTATATATCTCTGTGTGAGATATCGAGATCGGTTGAGAGAAAAGAACGTACGAGGGACCTATTCAAAAAGATTTTTGTTAATGATAGCATCGCTTTTTGACCAACAATCAGCTTTCGATATGGTATTAAGTCATCTACTATATATACGGCAACACAATAATCTACAAATTTTAAGTATGTCCTTTAGGATCAGCATGTTAACTTTACTCTAATGTTACTGTGCTTTGAAAAATTGCATTTAAGTTGTTTTTCGAATTATATGGTTTACGACATGTGGTGCTAGTGACAGTATGTCCTTCAACTATTTGAAAAACTTCTTTGCAGCACTTTATTTTGGTTTTTCTAAATTTTGATTTATTCTACTACAAAAAAGTCTCTTCTGGACAATGATTTCAACTTCAACGTCATATTCATACTGAAACGTATCCATCAAAAATCATAAAAAAGACTTGACATATCACAGGTGTCATATGCGAAATGTAAACGAAAAAAACATGAGGAGCACAAAGAAAGATATTCAAAATTGCAACTCAGCAATATTTTCCGTGTGATAATTTTTTGCTGAACGACAAAAAAAACATTGCTTGGATATGAAACAACACGAATTCTAAAAAGTGTGCAACATAAAGATACTCACCGTATCTGCAGTGCAGCCATGCGTTTTATGGATACGTCGCAAGCATTTCGCAAAACCAGCATAAAAATTTGAACCAACATTTGAAATATTTTCAAAATGTGCAAAGGCGGCAGAAAAAGTGTTGGAAATTCAGAAATGTTTTCAGAAATGTGTTCAAACAACATGAACAGATAAAGAATTTAACATGAACATTCTCAGATGAAGAAGTCAACTTTGAACTTTGCTTTGGGGCTCAGCTCAAGTGCCATTTTGCACTTCTTTTCATTGCTGGCAAGTTGACATAAAGTGCACTTTTCGTAATTATGAATTCGAACGTCAGAGAAATGAGAAATGGAAAATAAAACAGTAAAAAATAACTTTTGAAATAAATTTTGACTCGAAATTTAAATGAATTTTTTTTCAATTTTATATATCGGTAAAGAATAGTTGATAATGTAGCGCAGCTAATGAAGTTACGCTCGAAAAGTTCTAATTTTGTGACAAAAGCGTAAATGGAAAGTAGTAACGGTAAAGCTTAAGTAAATTTCTCTTTTAATTATATATACAATAACATAAAAAGTACAGGAAATAGTTAGATGAAATAGATTTTTAATATTCAAAGTTAATTTCATATCGAAAATTTGATAATCAAAAGTAATCTTTGAAAGTAGTACATCACAGAGAAAGACAGCGATAACGCTACTTACGGTTGAAGAGGCATAAATATAGACATCCAGCATACCTACAGATATATGGACGATGTCGAGATAGCCTATATATTGGCTTAGATAAACCTAACCTGCTAGGTATTAAGACGATTGCTTTAAGCTCTCTCCCTTTTTTTTTAGAATGAAGTTTCCACAATGCTGTGGAAATTTTCTTCATTCATTCCTAAGAGGTAATTTTAGTTGGTTCAAGTCTCACAATGTGGCTTTTGATAGTGATACACAATTTTTTTCATTCATTCCTAAGATGTAATTTTAGTGGGTTCAAGTCTCACAATGTGGCTTTCGATGCAATATCATATAACTGTAAATTATATATTATAGAAACCATATGGGAAAAAGTAATAACGCTGATTTGAAAAACTGTTTAACTAACTGAGAATTATTATTTCGTAGTCCTACTTTGGTAAAACCGGTACAGTGTCACATATCAAACATAATTGTCATCAAAGGCGACCTATACCTAGTTTAAGATTAGCCATTTCAACTTGGAGATCATGTTATGCATAAAACGATGCATGATTCGTGATGAGATATCAAACAGTAACGTTTAGATAACAATTTCTCGAATTAAATCATTGTTCTCTAGTCAAAAATTTTATTTTTTGCTTACTGGTGATGTTAAAAAAAAACAAAATTGTCGGATCTGGAGC